AATTAAAGGAAGGAGTAGTATATCCATAATACTGTTTCTTATTTAATGTTCTATCTACTTCTAAATGTCACTTAGAGATTAACAAACTTACAAAGGTTATATGTAATCATTTTAAAATCTTTCAGATACGGTATTTCAAAGGACAAGTTGCTTCAGATTTTTATTCATATGTTTTCATAAATTTTAGCCAAATAATATTTTGACCTAGCAAAAAGATGGAATGCCCCTTTAAAACTCACCCAAATATCTCATCAATCCCTCAGTGAACTAAACACAAATCACAGGTTTAAAGACAAATTAAAACATCTTATTAACGTCCTCATTGTCCATATAATATATCAATACTGTATTGATTCGAATATGGATGTGAAAGAAATTTGATGTACTAGTAAGCTTATTTTTAGATTGCAATTGAATTGAATTGAGTCATGGACTACATGAATCATTTTCATGATAAAATATTCTGATTGTAGCCTTATACTAAGAAAAAAAGTGGTAATGTAGTGAATATTGTATTAATACAAATCGTAAAGAGATTGGTTGACCAATTGTACTTTAGTGTTAAGAGTAAAGAAGTTCCTAAAAACTTCTATGTAAAGCACTGGCCAAGGTCACAAATAAAGAGATAAATGTTCAATACAAGATAAGGTGAAGTTAGCATAGTAAGTATTAAGTTAAAAAACTTTAGTAATAGTGTTGACAGCTCACAGTCAAAAATTTGAGCCTTCAATTCCAAGTGTGTCCAGAATTATTTGAGTTAAAATGACCAGTTATCTTTTTTTGTGACTGGAAAAGACATATATTAAGAAAAGAATGCGAAATTTGAGTTGTATTTGAAGGGATTATGCAACGTTCGTTCAGTTCTGGTAGTTTTGAAGACTATTTGCATATATATTCAAGCCCTAAATCACTCCCCAAAATGACCAACCATTCCATGTGCTTTAAAGCCCAATCCATTGATTGCCGTCTTCAGAGTGAATGGTAGAACAACATTTTCACATTAAATCCTATAATGCGAATTGTTGAAAAATTGATCAAGCTTATAATCTAATAGGGCCTTCTCTGCATGCCTACTCAAACTCATCAAAATTGCAGTCCACAGGAAGACAAAATCAATGTGGAGGGAGAGACATGAATTCAATCATTATCAACAGCTTTGATCTAAGATAGATATGAACAAGGAAGGAGTAAGTGTACTTTCTGTTCAGTGTTCAGAGTGCAATTAGTTGGTGAATAACGTTTTACACAGACACTAAGTCTTGTTAGTACTAGTGCCTGCATCGTTTGTTTTTCTTTGCTTTGAGGCCCGACTATTATCATTTTAAAAGAGTCTCGTACATACTTGCAATACAGTACTTTTTAAGGCCTAAGTGTTTCTCAATGAATATAGTACAAAGACGAAATATAATAGTGTCACGAATAATAAAATCATTTGCAAAAGTTACCTCACAATAATTTGTTTACATTCATTCAATTTATTGAGAGTTGCTTCCCTTGAACATACAATATGGATACAGACAACAACTAAATGACCAATTATCGCTCAGAGGCGACAATAAGCCTCATGTAATTTTCTATATTAATTTGCAGATCGCCACCACTCAAGCAGAAAAGAGAAAGATAGACAAAAGCAATACATTATCCGAAGAGCAATATTTATTTTAAACGGGCCTAATCCGTTAAACAAAATGCTAATAAACTATATTATCTAGGCCTATATAATATTTAATATAAGTAGCCTACATATTAATAACTCTATTAATAGGTCATACAGATTGAAATAAATCTGTATCTAGGTGTCTCTATGATATTAAAAATCTTGAACATTTGGGTTACAGCTGAATGACCAGTCTAACTTATATCGTAATAGAATACTCAGGCTTGTGTAGAGTACAATGTCCATGACAAATAAAGGCGACGTGTATAAAGCTATATAGATAGATAGATAAAAAAAATATATATATCATTATAGAGTAGGGAACACAAAATCGCGTCGGAAAGATGGGCTGCTTTACCTTTAAATGCTGTTTTATCATAACACCTATTATATTGGTTGGGATCTCTTATTGGTTGTATCAACCTTTACCCGAGGGTTTGAAGGAAAAATGGACAGCTCACCGAATTCAAGCTATAATGAAATTATTGAATTTTTATGTAAGTACTTGCATGCTATAGATATATCTCTTGACCTAGTCGGGCTGAACCCTTTATGAAAATATAGTACGTATCTAGTACATGTGGGACAGCAACCTAAATTTTGATATAGAATCTAGTAACCAATAAGACAGAAACCTAAAAGAATCTGATAAACAGTACAACAAAGACCTAAAAGTTGATGTAAAATCTAGTAACCTGTAAGACAGAAACCTAAAAGTTGATATAGAATCTACAGTGAACAGTAAAACAGAAATCTAAAAGTTGATATAGAATCTAGTAAACAGAAAGACAGAAACTTAAAGTTGATATAGAATCTACAGTGAACAGTAAAACAGAAATCTAAAAGTTGATATAGAATCTAATAAACAGAAAGACAGAAACCTAAAAGTTTATATAGAATCTAGTAACCTGTAAGACAGAAACCTAAAAGTTGATATAGAATCTACAGTGAACAGTAAAACAGAAATCTAAAAGTTGATATAGAATCTACAGTGAACAGTCAAACAGAGACCTAAAAGTTGATATAGAATCTAGTAAACAATCAGACAGAGATCTAAAAGTTGATATAGAATCTAGTAAACAGAAAGACAGAAACTTAACGTTGATATAGAATCTACAGTGAACAGTAAAACACAAATCTAAAAGTAGATATAGAATCTAGTAAACAGAAAGACAGAAACCTAAAAGTTGATATAGAATCTGGTAAACAGTAAGACAGAAACCTAAAAGTTGATATAGAATCTACAGTGAACAGTAAGACAGAAATCTAAAAGTAGATATAGAATCTAGTAAACAGAAAGACAGAAACCTAAAAGTTGATATAGACTCTAGTAACCTGTAAGACAGAAACCTAAAAGTTGATATTAAATCTAGTAAACAGTAAGACAGAAATCTAAAAGTTGATATAGAATCTAGTAAACAGAAAGACAGAAACTTAAAGTTGATATAGAATCTACAGTGAACAGTAAAACAGAAATCTAAAAGTTGATATAGAATCTGGTAAACAGAAAGACAGAAACCTAAAATTTGATATAGAATCTAGTAAACAATCAGACAGAGATCTAAAAGTTGATATAGAATCTAGTAAACAGAAAGACAGAAACATAAAAGTTGATATAGAATCTGGTAAACAGTAAGACAGAAACCTAAAAGCTGATATAGAATCTAGTAAACAGTCAGACAGAGACCTAAAAGTTGATATAGAATCTAGTAAACAGTAAGAGAGAAACCTAAAAGTTGATATAGAGTCTAGTAAACAGTTAGACAGAGACCTAAAAGTTGATATAGAATCTAGTAAACAATCAGACAGAGATCTAAAAGTTGATATAGAATCTAGTAAACAGTAAGACAGAAACCTAAAGTTGATATAGAATCTAGTAAACAGTAAG